AAAAAAAGAGAAATGTATCAGTTAAGAATCTTGGACTTTCTCCTGGACAGAAACAACATTATGAAAATGGAAATAATCTCAAACTTATACAGATTCAATGCAATCCCAATTAAAATGTCATTGCCATTCATATACCTCACAGATCTAGAAAAAAACATTCTTAAAATTCATCTGAAAGCAGAAGGCACCCAGATCATCAAAAGCAAACCTGGACAACAAAGAAAAAGCAGGAGGCATCACAATCTCAGACTTGAAATTGTACTACAAAGTTACTGTGATAAAATCAGCATGGTACTGGCATAGAGACCTGCAGATCAATGGAATAGATTAAAAGATACAGATACAATTAAAACATATTTGACGATCTTATCTTTTACAAAGGGGCCAAACACCTTCACTGGAAGAAACACAGCCTCTTTAATACATGGTGCTAGAAAAACTGGCTTTCCACATGCCGAAGAATAAAATTAGACCCATGTCTATATCCATGCACTAAACTGCAATGAAAATGGATCAAAGATTTAAACATTAAAACAGAAACACTAAGGGGCCGGGGAGATGGCTCAGTAGGATAAGCGCTTGACTGGCAAACGCAAGGATCTGAGTTCAATCCTTGGTTCCGGAAAAAAAAAAAAAAAAAAAAAAAAAAAAAAAAAAAAAAAAAAAAAAACAGAAACACTAAATCTCCTAGAGGGAAATGCAGGTAGAAATCTTAAAGATGTAGGTGTAGGTAAAGAGTTCATGAGTGAAAGCCAAACTACATGGGAAATACTTCAAAGAATCAACAACTAGGATATCATCTTTTTGAAAAGTTTCTGCCTTCAAAAGAAATTGCCAAGAGAATAAAAAGAAAATCCATGAACTGGGAAAAAAATTATAGTCAATTGCCCCTCTGACAAAGCTCTCTGTCTAGAACATATAAATAATTTTTAAAAATCAGGCCTCCAAAATTCAAAGACCCAATGCAAAAAATATTACATTTGAGATGCAATACACTTCTCAGATGAAGAAATGCAAATGGCAAATAAATATGTGAAAAAATGTTTTATATCATTGGTCTTTCCAGAAATTAAAAAAAACACTGATATTCCATCTTACCCAAGAAAGAATGGCTAGCATCAATAACTCAACCAGCAGCAAATGCTGGAGGAGCTATGGGGAAAATGGATCCCTTCTCCACTATTAGTGGGAGCACAGACTGGTATAACCACTATGGAAATCAGTGCAGAAATTCCTCAAAAAGTTAGGATTAGAGGTCAGATTCAATCCAGCTATTCAATCCACCTCCTGGGTATTTTTCCAGAAGAACAGAAAACATCATATCACAGTGATTTATGTGCACCTATGTTTATAGTAAGTAGTGTAGTCTGTTATAGCTGAATCTGGGAAGCAACCCAATGCCCATCACATGAGGAATGGATAAAGAAGATGTAGTTTTACAAAATGCAGTATTAGTCAGCTATACAAAAGGATATATTTGAGGCTTTTATAGGTAAATGGATGCAACTAGAGAACCTTAAAGTAAAATAAATCAGACCCGCATAGGCAAACATCATATTCTCTTCATAGTGTAAGAACCTAAAAGAGTAACTAAAATCTGAAAGGTGTAATAGATACTGTGAAAGGGAATGAACCTGTTCAAAAAGAAGGAATTACTGAGATGAGAAGGACACGACAGGGAGTGGGAGAAAGAGATATATCGATGCATTTAAGCAGGATGGTTTGGATAATTGTACTGTGGATTTCTACTGGTCTGTGGAAAGAAGCAGTTAATGCTTAATTTTTCATTTTTTGAAATAATTTTTATCTTCTCATTTTTCCTTCTTCTTATAACTTTTTCCTTTCTTCCAATTTTGCATGTATGTATCTGGCAATCTGAACAACTAATTTGAAGAGAACAGTACGCAATACAACAAATATCGTCAAATTCATGTAAGTTTGTTTAGTAAAAATTTGTATTATTTGTAGTTTTCTCTGCTTTAACACTGTTTAATACTCACTTTAATAAATAATAATTAAAAATGAATCTTGAATGCAGTGGTGTAAGAGAGAAGAATGAAATAAGATTTAATTTTTAGGAATTGATAACTAGAAGAAGAGAGATGCTATGGAAAAAAATATTAGATATTTAAAAAATTTAAGACCTCCTACTTGTTAGACAATTTTTTCTACTGCTCACTGAAGACAGCCCAGACCATGCTGGCTGTCAAAATTTATTATTTATTTATTTATTTATTTATTTTTTAATTTTTTTAGTTTTGGCAGAGCCAGGGATTGAACTCAGGCCCTTGTGCTTGCCAGGGAAGTGCTTATTCCATTGAGCCTTGTCCCCAGCTCCCGGCTGTCAAAATTTATTTGACAACCTGCTTGAATGCATGGTGGTAGCCTTGAGAATATATAAAGAAGGAAGTTTCTCTGGGTCATACAAGCCAAGGTAGAAAGCAAATGAGTGGATATGCTATTATTCTCTTTTCATAGGTGAAAACATAAACCCAGAGTATTTGTTTTCCTGGTAGATATAAGATGAAATGAGTAGTAGAGCTGAAAGTTCACCCTAACTCTATCTAATCTCAACGCGAAAATACTACCACTCACCATAATCCTATGGCTGGACTCACCCACATGCCATGTTATGATTTTCACATCTTTTCTGCACAAATTTGCTATCACTGAAATTATCTTTCGAGGAACCCTTTTGCTATCATAGAGCAAAATGCCATAAAAAATATTGACCTTCTACTTTTACATTAATTTACCAAGTGAGTTGTTGATACTCTTGTCAGTACTAATTAAGTGCTAAAGTTTAGAATTGTCATTTGAATTCAAACACCCACACTCTTCTCTCATCAACTATCTACTTGATTTCCTACCGAGAGTCCTGGTGATCCTTGATCTCCTTTCAAACCTGGCAAGCCAGGTTGCCCAGGTGGGCCTGGGTTTCCTCTTTCTCCTTTAATACCTCCATTTCCAGGGAGACCACGGGGACCTTCTGGACCTGGTAGACCTTGATGATTGATGTACAACAAATGACAAAATTTCAGTACAGCACAAGAGGAGTATAAATGTCAATATCAATACTCTTCATATTAGTTTACGTGTAAAACTGAAACTGTGTTAAAATATATTGACCTATTCTGATTCCTTTTCTAATGTAAATTGGATTGGGTTCCTTTCGTTATTAATGTTAGCTTGTATGCCTTCTGGCTTAAATTTTATTATTCATTTAATCCCATACATATGTATCTAAATAAAAGATTCAGGAAATAATTTGCTTCTGAATTCCTAACAAAGCATTTGACTTAAAACTGAAATGAAATAGACACAGTAGGGCACTGTTCTCAAATTGAAGCATGCAAACATCAAAATAATATGATTTTATGATTCAAATTCTTTGTCCCACCCACAGAGTTTCAGCTTTAGTAAGGTTGGGGAGAGACCCAAGATTCTGAATTCTAACAAATTCAAGGAATTCAGGCTACTGTTATTAAAATGAAATTGCTTAGGATTGAGGATGTATGTAGCTCAGTGGTGGAGTAGCTCAAGTGAGAGGTCTTGGGATTATTCCCAGTGACAAAAATAAGTAAAATCCATAAATAAAAGATAAAATGGGTTTATTTGTAAAGTGACATTTATTGATTTTTAATTACTATGCAATTAATACAAATAAATTAACTTTAATATTGTTCTAGTGATATGTTTGATACATTTGAATATTTTTAAAGGTCCGAATTTAGTCAATATAGTGCTTTAAACATTTATTTTAGAAATGTTTTCATGGACTGGGGATACAGAGCAGTGGCAGAGCAAATTGTGAAGCTTTGGGTTTATCCCCAGTACTGCAAAAGAAAGTTTTCATAATTTTTACATTTAAAATATGTTAAAGAAAAAATTTTGCATGTATCATGTGGATAAACAAAAATAATTTAAGGTGAGGCTTCACAAAGAGTTTTCTTTATATTTTTAATCTTTCTTTTTAAATAAAATAAAAATCTCAGGCCCATTATATGAACAGGGACATACTATCATTGATCAAGTCTTTTGTCAGCAGGTGGAAAATAGGTGCTATTTGTTTGTACAGTGTTTACAACTGAGACTGAGAATAAGTACTCATTTCTTAAGGAAGTAATTACAAGGTCCCAATAATGAGTTCAAAGCTAGCACATACACCTTTCGTCTTCAGGTAGCCTCAATTTTTAATTGATCTAAACCAAAATTAAAAAAAAAATTAGTAGGAATTACAATTTTTGGGTGTGTTTGTTTTGGGCTTTGAGGCAGTCTCTCAGAAATTAGAATACTGAGTTCAAGTTTACTTATGAACAGAGAGCCATCATTTTGACCTAAGATCAAATGTCACCTTTAGTTCTCTTTCTAAATTTTGTTAAAACTCAGAATCAGTGATTACTGATTAAAAACACCGGAACCTGGAGCTAGAGTCCAGAGGTTCCAATCCCAAGTCTATTAATCATCAGCTCTTTGATTTACCAGGATGGTTAATCTTCTTGCTTTAATTGCTTTTTCTATAAAGTAGAAATAAGAAGAGTATCTGCTAGTCAAGCATGGTGGCACATTCCTATAATTCCAGAATTAGTCGTGGTTGAGGTATAAGGATTCCAAATTCAAATCCTGCCAGACAATTTAGAGTATGCATCAGAATTTTTAAAATGGGCCTGAGAGTATGCAGCTCATCGTGAAGGTACAGAACCCAGCACAGTCAAATAAATAAATAAATAAATAAATAAATAAATAATAAAAGAGTAGTATCTGCTTTACCAGGTTGTTGTAAAGATCAAATGACATTACATGTATAAATTATTTAGCATAGTGCCTGGCACACAGTAATAAAAAAAGGTTAGTATTTTTATAATTATTAACACTATTATCTTCATTAGTAAAATGGAAAGTAAATGCATATCTTAAAGTATGAACATGTTTTAAATCTTTCAGATGTTTTTATGTGATTTCAAAAAATGGAATGACTACATCTGGCACATGAGAAAAAATTTCAGGTTTGCAGGACAATAGCAATTGTATTGTTAAACAATTTAATTCATATAGTCACTTTAACCTGGTAGCCAGACAACATAGCAATTCCCTTACCCATCACAAAGAACTATTTGGAGTAGTTTGACACTTAAAAACCAAAACAAAAGCAAAAACACGATTCATTAGTTCAAATCCATTAAATAGGGTTTGTTAAGCAAATACATTAGTTTGTATCATTTAGAACAGAAGTCAGGTAGCAAATCATCTCATTTAGAGAAAAATAAACTGTGAACCAATCTTATAAAATTAACAAGGGAAGATTTAAGATCGGAAAAAGAGATGCTTTGACAACCATTCTTTCCCAGTTTGAAAGACTACCAGAGGATTGTATCATTTGAAAAATAAAACAGGGGTATTACTTGTTTTTTGCAATTAAAAGGGAATAGTAGGAATTTTACATGCAGATGCATGCCTGCTGTTTAGAACTTCACATTTGACTTAATGAATTACTAATGACATACAGTACAAATAAGTTATTTTTAATAGCATTTAAAAAATCTATTTATTTATTTATTTATTTATTTATTTATTTGGTACAGGGTATTGCTATACAGCTCAGTCTCCTAGTGATCCGCTTGTCTCATTCTCCCTAGTGCTGGGATTATAGGCGTGTGCCAACACACCTGGTTTTGGTGGCCCTCTCCGCATGGAGCCAGCAGGATTGAACCTGGGTGGAGCCAGCAGGATTGAACCTGGGTCTCTGCGTTTGCCAGGCAGGTGCTTACACTGCTGCACTATCTCCGCGGCCCAAAACCATTTAATAGTTTACCTCTTTCATTATTGAAAATGGGCACAAATACACAGACCATTGAAGCAAACAAATGTTTCTCAGGAAAATAAAATCTCTATGGAAAGATTATCAATTGCCCAAGTGTCTGTCTAAGAAAATGTCTTAGTGCAATCTAGAAGGCAAAAGTAAGTGTATTTTCATTTAAAATTAAACATGTCTTTATACAGGATTATTTATCGTAAACAAAACTACAAAGACTTCATATCACTTCAAGCTTGATTATAAATATGCCATACTATCATCACCAACACATCAAAACCTAACTAGGTAATATTTGAGGATTACAGCATTCTTCAGTAGCTTCTAAACTTTGCTTTTATTTATAGCAAAATAAACTATATATCTCTTAACACACATTTAAAGCATTAAAATCTAATAAACCAGTGAAGAGTCTAACCTTGAAAACCTGGGAAGAGCAGAGTTCACCAAAGCTCAAAGATCGATGTTAGCAGTATCAGACATCACACAGTACAAAATAAGATTATGAGTTAGAAGTAGTTCACAATATAGCATAAGTTAAACAATTATTCTTTTTGCCAGCATTTCTTGGACTTATAGCATAAATGGGATGCACACAGAATCATACTGGAGATGGAGAGCCAAACTGTTTAAATAGTGCTTCTTATAGAGAATAAGCTGCTGGTCTTCATTAATAGAACAAAAATGGAAAACTCTACTGAAGACACTGTGTTAACCCCAGTACTGTGGCTTTCAAAAAGTTGGCTTCTCAAAACATTCAACTTGGCAAGGTAATAAGGTTTCACTGACAGCCTTCAGCTCTTTTAACAAAGGAGTAATTTTGGATGAATGTTTATCTTGGCCTCTGCCATCCTTCAATAAAGACACAAGGTAAAATCTCTCTTTATATGTTCAGACTGAAGCAAGGAGAGATTAGTTAACTTTAGAGGCTTCACTGGCAAAAAAATTAAAAAGTCATTGGTGACTAAAGAGAAAACTCAAAACACATGTGTAATTGTACTTTCATTTGTTTTATTTGACAATCAATCAGTGAAGCCACATTCTGGTTTTATTTCATAATTCATCATGTAGTTTTCCTCTGTAGATTATTTATTTTCTTCCTTTTTTTTTCCGGAACCGGGGATTGAACTCAGGCCCTTGCGCTTGCCAGGGAAGCGCTTATTCTACTGAGCCATCTCCCCAGCCCCTCTGTACATTATTAATTGCAGCAAACTACTTAAAGAAAAAGCCAATGTATATTTGTACAGAATTGAACCTGAAACTAAAGATTCAAATTTTCCAAAGATGTGAAGACTATCATTGAAGGGGTACTTTAAATATTTTGGCATGCAATAGCTCACCCCAAACCACAGAAGATATTACAATTATTTTAATGTAGTTCAATGCACATATTTACTCAAGCAATTCATTAGTACAAGGATCATTAAATAAAATGATAAAAGCTACACATAGAACATCTCTTGGTTACTGTTAATTGACTATAAACACAATTTACTTACAAGTCTTGCTGTGATTTATGAACAATGAATACTAGCAGAGGGAATAAATGGGGCGAGAGCACAGAGTCCGAGAAGTTTAAAGACCTCAGATTGTATTCTTGACTGTGCTACTTAATAACTATATGAGTTATTTGTTATTTGGTTAATTCAATTGCTCATAGCATAATGGGAATACTGTTATCTGCCCTAACTTCCCTCATAGGATTAATAATGGAGGGCAAGTTTTAAAATACAGACTTAATGTCCGCCATGTACAAGGTGCTACATGGAATGTAAAAATGAATAAGACTCTTGACTCTGCCCTCAGGGAGCTTACAACAAAAGTACATTATATGATGGAAATGGTAGCATGCCACATAAACAGAAAGCATTACTATAATTGCCCAATAAGGAAACTTTTTAAATGATTGATACTTTGAAATTTAGAAAGTTAAAATTTGACTTACACAGCAAACTAACTCAAGCTAATGCTTACAGCACTGCCTAACCACACAATTAGTTCAATAAATTAAAATTACTACCAAGCATAATTTAGAGTTTGAGTAAAGACATTTTCAATGTGTTTGATATATTAAGACCAATAATAAGAACTCTCAGAATAATATCTCGTTCAAAAATGGCATTTTAATTTAAGTCAGTGGCAATGAGAACTATGAACATATCACAGCAAAACTTCTAAGACTTTAATTTTGAAAAGGTTAAATTTTAATGAGTTATATGCCAACTCAATTTTTTGTATGAGGCTTTCAATTCATTGTTTTTCAAACCATCTAAGAAAAGTTAACTAAAAATTCCTAAGAAACATAAAATCTTAGACATAAGTGGTAATTATTAAAGATGAGTTGATTGTTCCACTAGTATAAATCTGATTTCCAGGTCGGGGATATAGCTTAGTGGCATAAGTGCTTGCCTGGCAAGAAAATAGTCCTGAATTTGATCCTTGGTACACAAAAAATCTGATTTTCACTTAAGGTTGTACTTTGCAATTGTTGTAAAGAAGGCACCACTGCAGAGACCTGGTTCCAGCAATAATTTAGAGTACATTTGGTAAGTGGGAGTTGTTAAATTGGTTTTAAGTGTGGCTACTCTGTTTTTCACCCTTAAATATATTCTAGTACCTTAGGAAAAAAGAAAAAGCTCCTTGCTGACATTTTACTTTAGCAGTGATGAAGGTATAAGAAGTCCATACAAGTAGGACAAGTTTGGACTCAAAATTCATTCATAGTACCCCGTAGTCACTTTTTTTCTTGGTAATTGTTAAATCACATGCTGTATCTTAACCTGCTTGATGACATCCATTTAGGAAGAACAAAAGAACCAATTGTTAGGGGTTAATAATGCTTTTAAGGAAACAGAAAACAAGAAAGTAGTTGGAATGCCTGGTCTGCTATAGCCAAGCCTTCTAAAATAGTAGAAGCAATTTTGCATCATTAATTTATCAAATCTGTAACTTGAATAAGAGAAAATAAGCATCAATCCATGCAATAAATATCCTTTGTGGAACGATATGGTGCCACTAGTACATACACAAGTCAATGTCATCTATTCCAGTAAGTAACAGTATTGCCTTGAACACGCTTATTGACCTGTTTGGGCTTCAATTTCTCATATGTAAGAGACTCTGTCCTTGACCAAACTTCACAGGTACATTCTAGGGCCTTTTTCTGGCCTGTCAAGTCCAGTTATAAGAATGCTGCTAAGTCATTCTAAGGAAAGTCCCTTTATAATGTTCAAAATCTGATCAAATTCCTCATCCACACCCTTTGTGTCTAAGTCCTTTGCCTACCTTTAGCAGGATCCTGTTAAGTAAGCTTAGCAAGAATCCTTTACCCTTGACGCCTCCTCAGTTTAAGTTTCCATCACTGCCCTCTTCACTCTACTCCTTTGTGAAAAATTTCTTTGTCTTTTTGAGGTGAGTTCAGTCACTCTACCCTATTGTTTGTTATAACCTTTCCTCTATTGCAATAGTCTTGAATAAAAATTTGTCTTTCCATCTTGAACAAGAATACAGTCAGCAATTTCTTTGGTCTGATATTGTGTGGTTCAATGACATAATAGATCTGTGGAAAAGTAAGAAACTAAGGAATCAGAAACCAGGCATGGTCCCACATCCTTGTAATCCCAACACTCTGGGAAACAAGAGGATCACAAGTTTACATCTAGCATGAGGAAAGCATGTTCCCCCAAAGGGATAGGGACATATGGTTCAATTCAGAAGTTCTGAATTCAATTCCCAATACAGAGAAAATAAATTTCCTTTACAGAAATAAATTAAGTAGGGAATTAGCTCAGACAGTGACAGAAAGCTTCCTAAAAGTCATTTTGAAAATGCATTAGTTTTTAATTTATTAAATGGAAAAAATTCTATCATTCTCAATAATCAGACCTAAGGCATAGACTTTTGCCCCTTTTAATTTCCCCAAAAAATCAGAAAAGGACTATGTATCTACGATAATAATGAGAAATTCAAATATTTGTGGCCCTTTTTAATCCTGATTAGTTGAGGTTTTTTCTTTTGTTTTGTTTTTTACTAGAAATCAACAATTTTCCAGCTAGTCCTTCTTGGTAATTGTTGTTTGATATTACTGTTTATATGTGATGAAAATAGGATTAAGAGTCTCTAATCTCTATTGACTGTAGGGACTTTTAACAATATTATACTGATTAGAATTTCTTCATAGGAGTACAATTTGGAACTTCATGACAAGTCAAGATTATATAGAACCTATTAATACATACTATTGTTTTATAAATGCCTTTTTGAAGGCTAGTTTTACTTTCTTTCTTTTTGGGAGACAGAGTGTGTTTAATTCTGTGCCCTGGCTGGTCCAAGTAACACTCTTATTTCAGCCTTCAAAATAGTTACAATACAGATAGGTACCACTGTGCCTGGTTAATAGTTCAGTTTGAATTAACAAATACAAGGCAAAAGTAAGATATACACTCTAATCCAAAGGAAAAATAAAATGTTAGACAGAGCTGTTTTAAATACTGTAAATTTTCAGTTAAAATGACACAAATATATGAATTCTGGAGCATTTATTTCCCTAATTAGTTAATCTGGGGTAATTCCATTAGAAACACAGGTAAGAGACCACCATGTAAGAATTGAATTGGCACACACTCTGACAATACATTAAAAACTTAAAAACATTAAATTTGAGTGTGTATATACAGACATATATTTAAACATACATGCACACATATATGTATATAAGAAAACTTTCAAACTTCATGCAGTTACTACTTTGGAGTTAAAGAGCTAACCTGGAGGACCTGGATAGGGATCAAAGTTCACCAAGGCCCAGTGTCATCATTAACGAAAGGAAAAATAACAAAAATATTAGAAACATCAAAAAACTAAAGCATTATACTAAATACTTTCAAGTTAAAATTTAGTTCAATTACAGCATATTCAAAAAATTGATATTCATGCATCTGCATATAAACCAAATTATTACCACTTAAGGTTAATTACCAAAATGAAATACATGCCATATTTTGAAAGACCAAAATTTATTTTATAGATTTCGACACCATGAGCTCAGAGTAGGCAATCACTTCTAAGAGTAATGAAAAAAATTTTTTTTTGGCAGACCGCAGATTGAATTCAGGCCCTTGCACTTCCCAGGCAAGTGCTTTCACTGAGTCATCTCCCTGGCCCCTAAGAATAATGAAATTTAAAACTCTATTTTAATATGCAGTTTATATAAACATTGAGAAGCAAACTACTGATCAGATACATGCTCTCTGAGTACTTTTGTTATTATTTCTTTAAAAATAGTAATATTTAAGGCACCTTTATGAGTAATGATATAATTATTATTTTATTGCTTTATTGAGACAGAATCTTGCTATGTGATTCAGGCTGGCCTCAAACTTACAGTGATCCTCTCACCTCAGCGTCAAAATTATGGAACTACAGGAGTGAGGCACCATGTTCAGTTTAATGATTTCATTTTATTTCATTTAAATTTTTCCTTTTATATTTCCTTTTTAATTTAAAGAGAATAGAAAAAATTTTAGGGGGGGGGCAAGGAGATGGCTCAGTAGAATAAGCACTTCCCTGGCAAGCTCAAGGGCCTCAGTTCAATCCCCAGTTCCGCCAAAAAAAAAAACCTTATGGTCATCAATGAGTTCCATTACTAATAAAAATGAATAACCAAGTTGTTAATTAGAATATATAAAGTATAATAGTTTGGTTTATTTGAATGATTGCATGACAAACAAAGTAAGATATTTGTTTCAATTCTTTGTAATACATGAAAAAGAGTTAATATGGCTGAGATTTTCACTGGTTTTCTTCAATAGTAAACTAATTTAAAACCTTAAGAAATATCCTCTAAGGAGAATCAAATAAGATCAGATAAAATATGGTTTTCAAAATGATCCTGTGAACATAGGGTGTGATCCTATGTTAATTCATGTTTTTATAGCATTTCCATGGAAACTGACTCCAACCATTCAAGATTTTACTGGAATCTAAATGCAAATTTTCATTTTAAAATACCTTTTAAAAATAAAAGATCATTATCCCATTAAAAAATAAAAAATAAAAAAATCAGGGGTTTTTCAAAGACAAAAGGACAATTTCTTTGTTTCTACAGTCTTAGAGTTCTCTTCTTTCCTAAACTCAGTAAAGATCAAATTTTTCATTACCAGAAAGAGACACTAACAACAAGTTGCAAAAATCTGTTGATAACATATTACCAGTGATTGGTCTCAGCAACATTAATGAGAACAAGCATTTTCAAGTTAATAAAATGAAGTGACAGCACAGAAATGAAAACTTGAAATGGATGCAAAATTAAATTATTAGAGAAGTGAATAAAAGACAAACGAGGTAAAGACATAAGGTGGGCATGGAAAGATTGCTAGTCAATTTGATCATGCTGTGACGCTGAAGATAAATTTGATTGCCTAGTTCCTAGAGAAGATAAAAATTTTATGGTGCTTGGTGACATTTGCTGATCATGTGACAGAACTGTAGCAATACCTGTGGTATGGATCACAAGCATTTATCTATTAGTGATTTCAGTTAGGACATGCTGCAAAGCTCACGTTTAAAAATATAGATTGTATTTTGCTGCCAGGTTATCAGTATAGAATTATCCTTAATAACAAGATTAAGAAAATCACTATTTCCTTTTTCATCCGAGTTGTTTTATTTCATCTTTAAGTATGTAATAAAATTCATTACAGACAATAATATATTAGATGCTATGGAAATGGATTTAAGTAGGTGGGTAAATCAAGCTATTTGTTTGTAATAAATTCTTAAACTATAATTTCTAAGGCCTGATGACTGAGTAAACTGCCAGCAAAATGAAATAAATTGAATAACAGAAATTCCTCTATGGCTCATGAACATACCTGGTCTTCCAGGAGGACCTTGGGGCCCAGGGTTGCCTTTAGGGCCTTCCACAGCTGGACCTGGAGAACCAGGAGGGCCTGGCAGACCTTGCACACCAGGGAAACCTTGAAAGCCTGGTTCACCCTTTGCACCTGGAAGGCCAGGGTTTCCTGGAATACCAGGTAATCCTCCATCACCCTTTTGACCTATAAAAGTAAAATGACAGTTCAACCTGACAATAAAACCTCAAACTCAGTTACAGGCTTGCATAGAAGGCTAACATTATTAGAGCAACTAATAGAATTCAGTAGGGTAATATCTATCTCCAAATAAATCCCAAACCCAAACAACACATTATTTTTCCTAATGTTCTTAGGAAACTATTGTTACAGTACTATGGAAATATAGAAAACAACAGCTTTCATTGCAAAAGGTACCCAATGTATTAGGATATGGGATAATGATGACATGACCAGCAGTTATGAAGAAAAAAAGAAAAAAGTTTAAAATGTTGTCAAGAAAAGGTTTTAAATGACTGAAGACAATTCCTGGCATAAATATTTTTAATCTAAATTTGACACTAATGGAAGATGGATCTTTCATTGTTACTATGTGTTCCTGCAGATGACTATACCTAAGATTTATAATCATAATCTACAGAAACTGTCCTCAACATTTTTCTGCACCACTAACATTCTTAAGAGCCACAAACAGTGACACATTATAGCAATAAATAACTTTCATGTTGTGATCATAAGAATTTCTAGGAGATACATTTATGACTTCAGAAAAACCTCATAGTATATGCAATATATTTACCTGTATGCACATTCAGTCTTTCAATTAACATTCTATTAACTATTTGGTGCTTACAGTGAGATTAAGTAGTAGAGAAGGAAGGTAAATTATGTGTGCCCACATATCTATCTGAATATGGAAAACATTAAAATTGACTTTTCAAGAGATATTTTTACAGTTGGTACATATTTTTATAGAATGTCTTATCTATTATTTTGATATTTCTTTCATAGGGAGAAAAAAGCATGTTGTTGCCTGACTTAAAAGAGCTTTAAAATATTTACTAAAATCTATCTCTACCATTTTTTTCTTTCTTTCTATATCATTTCCTTAGCATTTATGAAGTCATGAAGAAATATCTACCTGTAAATTTCCTTAAGTGTGCATTTTTATATAACTGAACTCCTTAGATCACACTGCCACATAAATCCTAAAAGTGCAATTCTACCTTTGAGGTTCAGGCTTGTTTATAGATTTCACAACAGTAATTAATAGAGTTGGAAACATAAATGCATTAGAGAATACATTATGGATTGATTTAGTGTATTTTATTAAAATTTACCGGAAAATGAGGTTAAGCTTAACAGCCTAAGTTGTATGGTAATAACAATAAGCTTGTCTTCTGGATGGTTAACAACCTAAGTTTGCAGACGAAAATTAGATAAAAAGGAGGGCAGCAAGGAAAGTCAACATTTTGGCCCTAGCCTTCTGAGGTCAATTAGGACTCAGGACATATGAGAACTTGTACTGTAACGTCATGTAACTCAGTAGTGTCCCAAATTTTCTGATCAAGGAGATTATGTGGCCAAAGAGGAAAGTGATCGATTATGTAGAGTGTGCCTAAGGAGAGTCACATGGAGAAAAAACATTCTCTCAAGTTTTTACAGAGAGCACAATGGCCAAGCAATGGCCGTGACTCATCCACATGGCTGACACTGACATAGGTTCTACAATCTGAGGTACAGAATCTCAGGATAAATCCTGAGGGGATTTCACTGACCTTATCAGACCCAAAAGCTACAACTCTTGTTGCTTAAATCCTGCTTTACCTTGGTCTTAACCATCCAGCAGAAAAGTATAAAAACAAAATATAAGAAGTAAAGCCATGCTGTTATGTTGAGCTGTAGGGACTCAGGTCAACAATTTCTGACATTGCCAGTCAAGCGGAAGACCCAATACTATTATGGGCTACTGGACTCTTTTAGAATATTTTGCTGAGTTTATACAACTATAATATTCAAATAATGGAACTTAACCAAAAAAGGGGTATACAAATGAATGTCCAATTTGTATCTTTGTATTCAATGTGGTTAGGATAGATATATAGTTACATTCTCTCAATGAATAGAGTGATTTGTTCTGATGGTGTTAGAATATCATGTCCTCATCTTGTACAGCAATTAACCACTAGGAAGAATGTATGCAGTGTGTTAATTATTGAAACTGTCCTACCAATTTGATTTGAAACTGTCTCATTGCTATTTGTTTATCAATAAAATTATGGGAAAAAAATTTACCAGAAAGGCCTGGGATTCCACGGGGTCCTGGAATTCCAAAGCCTGGTTGACCTGTTACAGTACAAAAGAAAACAAAAATCTTAAAATGCTAATAATGAGTGAAATGATGATAAACTTTTTAGATCATAGTTGTTTTATTAAGTGCTACAATGTATATTATATAAGACATGCAAATAATTCATTTTTTGTATGCTGGGGATTGAACCCATGGCCTTACACATATTAACTGAGTACAATATCACTGGGCTATACCTCAGCTCATAAAGATTAATTTCTAACTGAGCAATTTATTATCAACAAATTATATAAACATATACTCTATTTGTGATGAGTGTCAAATTACCTTTAAGTATGTATATCAAAGCTCGGCAATGTGGCACACATGAAATTAAAGCACTTTGGGAAGCTGAGGCAGGAACATTCCAAGTTTGAACCCAGCTTGAGCAATTTAACAGTTCAAATTAAAAAAAAAAACACTGGAAATGTAGCTCAGTGTGAATGGCTCAATAACCTGCATCCTTTTCCCCAAAATCATACCTTGTGAAATCACATGAAGGAAATGTTAATTGTGTAGTAAAAAAAAAAGAAATTTGGGAGAAAAACTGCTTAACTTCTTATTGTGAAGAACTGGGCATGACAATGTTGGAGTTATTTTTTTAAATTTATGCTCATCAATGAACATAATGTTATAATCTCAGGATGAGCAGAAATAAGCTAATTAATGGAAGAAAATGCATGGTATCTTAAAAAGTAAAAAAGACATAATTTCATTATGAATGAAGAAGGCAAAATTGAAATGGACCAAGGGGAAACTCAAAAAACTACATAGGGTTTACATATAATGATAACAAGTCTAGGCAAAAAGAAAACATAGAGCACCTGGTTCACCCTTCTGTCCAGCTGGCCCAGGGATACCATCTTGACCGGGTGTTCCTTTTGCACCTGGAGGTCCTGGTGGCCCAGGATGACCTGCACCACCTAAAGAACAGATTACAGCAAGTTGCATTGATCTTTTGGACTCCCTTTCTGTCCACATAGCTCAACTTTTAAATTGAGCTTCAAAGAGTTCTTTCCAAAGATACAAAGTGCTAGGGAGACATTTCTTTCAATCATGAAATCTTATGAAAATAAAAAATGAAGTGGGATAATGAGATAAAGAAACAAGCTAATCAATATGTTAAGCTTTGATCATTTTAATATGGGTTAATCATACATAAGAGAATGAGCCTTGCAAGGTAACAGGGTGCATTAGAAGGCTCATATCATTAAGCATAAGTGATTTTGTTTAGAAGTCAATAAAAAATTTTTCCAGCCTGCAATTATAAAAAATATTAAATGTCAATGTTCTATTAAAGGGAATTTAAATGGACTCACTAAAAATGTGAGCCTACAAAGTAAGGTTTTACAACATTAAGTAATTTTTATTAAAAGTTGTTCACACTGTGCCTAAGTTACACTGCTAAGTGAATGATCACATCTATTGCTCCTGAAATGTTTACAGTTGAAAATAAATTGACTTTCCAAAATTGAATATGATAAGCTTTAGTTTTATAGAACAGCAATGTCTTAATTTTCATGCTCACCTACAGGACCAGGTTCTCCTGGAAGGCCAGGATTCCCAGGGGCACCACTAATTCCTTTTGGTCCAGGGAGGCCTGGGGTTCCTACAATGAAAAATTCAATTTAAAAATAAATAAAACCAAGTTATATTGTGTACAGGTACAAATTCTCTATGATGAGTGTGATCATAATGTATATCTAAAATGTACCAATAAAATCTGATT